AAGGATATTATTTCGAGGTGAAAGCCGTTTAATCAAATCCTTTTTCTGTCATTCCAGCACTTTTTGTGTTGACACTGAAATAGTTCTGGTGATGCTTGTCGTTTTTCGGACATATAACCGTACTAGAATATGTCGGCAAAACGCGAAACCACGCTGGTACTATCCTTTGCATGATTTTACGCCGCTTTTAGTAATATTAGAGCAATATCGGGCAGGGGGACACCAGAAATGGGCTTCACACATTGTACCCATGTGAGATATCGAATCCGGGTCTTCGGCGTGACGAAATAACGCTTTAACCACTAGGCTACTTCACCGCCTCTATCTCAACGGAATCCCTACTGAGAGGGTACATGGAATTGACAAATCAAGGCTCAGTATCGGTACAAATTCAAACCAATACCGAAGATCAGAACATAAATTCACCTGAATTCGTTGCATAGAATATAAATGTAAAGTTCTCAATTCACGTAACATGACAACCTTGCGGTATCAGAAATTGTAAGTATCGGGGCTGTAGCTTATCGTAATTTATTGGGTTGATACGTGTGGCTATGCGCATGATGTGGTCATGTGAGTACGTGTTTTTTATATATACTCTTAAAAAAATGTAGGGGAACTTGAACTTTAAATTTGGATAGGAAGTATAAGCGTAAACAAACTTTTCAAAAACAGACATCTTATGAATGCATCACAGTTTCTCTTCATCACCACCCCCAAACACAACGCATGGGATGCACGTGCACAACGCTGTAGCACCATACACGTGCATGGAGTGTCTTTCTTGATTTTGACGGTTTTCAAGGAGGTCGATAAATCACTGTTATCCATTAATTTTGACAATCATCTTGCATGACACAGATGTTAGTGTTTGTTTTTAGCTGGGTTTTTTTCTTTTCTTTTAAACGAAAATCGTACACATGCAAATTTCACGTCATACACCAATCACATTTCAAGAGCGACAACTATGGTCATGAGGAAATGTGCACAACATTCATTATTATCATACCAACATTAGTTGACTCCGATCGTAAATTACAAATGAAGTTCCCCTACTTATTTTTAAAGTATAGGACCGCCGCCATATAGCTGGAATAGTGCTGGGTGCGGCGTAAAACTAAACTCACTCACACTCACTTTAAAAGTATAGATGATAACACTGGCTACACAGGTGCGTTACTGACCTTGCGTTCCTGACCTGGACCTTGATGTACCATGGATTGATTCTTTGGAACTTATATTCTATCTTGGTGTTTCCTACCGGACACTGCACAGCCTGACTCTCAACCTCCCAACTTGTAATGGGTCAACGTTTTGGGGTGAGTAGTGAGTGAGTTTAGTTTTGCGCCGCACTCAGCAATATTCCAGCTATATGGCGGCGGTCTGTGAATAATCGAGTGTGGACCGGACAAACCAGTGATCAACAGGATGAGCATCGATCTGCGCAATTGGTAACCGATGACATGTGTCAACCAAGTCAGCGAGCCTGACCAACCGATCCCGTTAATCGCCTCTTACGACAAGCATGGGTTACTGAAGATAAATATTCTAACCGGACCTTCACGCGTTTTGTGTGAGTAAGTTGACCATGGCGCCGCGTTAGACTGTATTTTCTGTTAGTTTCTTTATGTGAGGAGAAAACCAATCTGGGCCAATTAAGTCGAACACAGCTTTTTTACGTGACGGTACCACCGACTTCCCAAACGTTGTCGTTTAATCGATAAATCGATTATAAGTTCAGTGGGCATATTTAATACCTGGAAATATCCCTACTCCTTCACCAGGTGAACTACTTTGACGATTTGTTGGGATGTATTCCGAACTATTTATCATGGATCATACGGCAGTTTAGTCTATGTGATCAGTCAATCTCATATTTGAGTCAGTTAAGCTGTTTGTCGGTAGCATCAAGACATGGGTGACTTCTAACTTCCTGAAACTGAATGATGAAAAAACAATGCTTTTGGTATTCTGTTCCAAACGAAGTCAAAATTATGTCCCTCTTCCAGTGTGCCGCATTGGTAAATGTGCGATCTCTGCTAGCAAGGAAGCCCGAAATCTGGGTGTGATATTCGACACGTGATTTAACATGGAATCGCATATCAATAGCGTCTGCAAGCGTGCGTACTTCCATATTCACAACATCAGCATGATGAGGAGGTATCTCGATGTCAAAACCATCTCAGCTCTTATCCAAGCCTTCATCACGTCGAGACTTGATTACTGCAACTCGCTGTTGTTTGGAACATCTGAGCATCTACTTGGCAAGCTTCAACGTGTGCAGAACACTACAGCAGGGATGATAACCCGTCATCAGAAATATGACCACATCACTCATGTACTCCGCACTGGCTGCCAGTCAGATACAGGATCCAGTACAGTGAGTGAGTGAGTGAGTGAGTGGGTGGGTGGGTGAGTGAGTGAGTGAGTGAGTGAGTGAGTGAGTGAGTGAGTGAGTGAGTGAGTGAGTGAGTGAGTGAGTGAGTGAGTGAGTGAGTGAGTGAGTGAGTGAGTGAGTGAGTTAACGTCACACCGGCAATATTTCAGCCATGTAGTGACGAGAACAAAGTTAGTATATATGATAAATATATGTCACGAAGGACAGTCAAACATTAGCAGCGTAGCACAGAATTCAAGTCTGAAAAGGATCCAGACAAACACTGCTGTTAGTGTGTCAATGGACTTGACCCCAGCTACCGCTCCAATCTTCTTCACAACTACCATACCCCCAGGTCCATACCATGTTGTTCCCATGCAGGATTTCCTGGAGGTACTAACCACCCGAACAAAGGCATTTGGCGGCTGTTCATTCGCAAACACCTGTCCAGTAATGTGGAACAGTTTACCCATGCATCTCAGATCGTAAGAGAATCTACCAACATTCAAGTCACAATTGAAAACGCATGTTTAGTGCTGCCTTCCGTACTTGAACAATGTCTTTCCAGACTCTTCTCCAGCGCTTTTGAGTGGCACATGCCAGAAACTAGCGCTATATATATAGTTTTTTTCTACGTGTATGCATGATGAAATGATATTTTGTAAATGATATTTAAAAATATAACAATCTTATTCAGATGATAACAATCCCTGAACCTGGGAAAATCTAGACATGCTTCATTCAAGGCGTTACCATTGCAGTAAGGGCTGGGCGGAAGGGGAAACAATACCCACGGAGTATCAGTTCTGCCCTGATTCAGGAGCCCTTGTTGTAATTCTCTTGGTTTGCATGTGTTAGTGACGGGGCAGGGACACCTTGTAACATCACTATTTGATAATGATTCACAAACACATACGCATGATAAGGTCGGACACGTACCACGGGTTCGGGTTTTAGCAGAGAGTTCTCACGAAAACAGTATTTTATGTAGGAGAATTTAAACTTGTAACAAAGGTCACTATACTACTCTTTTCGTTTTAAAATTCTTATCTTTCGACAAGCTCATTCAAATTCTAATTGTAGTTCGGGCTCTGAAACAAATGGGGTCAAGCAGGTATATGGACTTGGTCACTGAGATGGATTTTTTCTGTGTTATGATGACAAACGTGATTACCTGAAAGTCGCTGTGATGTTCCTTTGGTATTTAGACAAATATGACGACCTTGAAGTCACTGCCATGTACATGTTATTGTGATGAAGGGTCACACGTGATAACCTCGGAATCTTTGGGGTTGTTCTATTGATGTGGGGAAAAACATTGCTTCCTCGAAGTTACTGAGATGTTCTTGTGATGTACCAGCAACGGTACTATAAAATTAACTGCGTTTATAAAGCAATACAAATTAATGCAAATGATATACAAGGGCGGTTCACACCAGAGTGGTCTTGACTCCAAAACAGGCCTTGTCTGGATATCCAAGGTTGAAAAGATGAGATAAGATGTTATGGAACCTTCCAGATTACTCTTCACTTCCAGTCTATATTCAGCAACTTAAAAATTGTGTAACACAACCTTCAACTATATGTCAACAGAAACAATGTAATACATTTGCATCACTGTTGTTTTACAGTGATTTATACTGCCAAATAATGATTACCGTGAAGTCACCTTGAGGTCATGGTGTAAACATGGTTTCATTTAAGTTGCGCCGGCTTAGGTCTTATAGAACTTACTTTGTAAGAAAACAGACTTGATTTCCAAGACAATTAGATTGGAATTGTATGATATGTAACATATGATATATGATATACTACAATTGGAATCGAACCCGGGTCTTCGGCGGGACGAGTGACCGCTATAACCACTAGGCTACCCCCACCGTGCCTAATTTGGTATATAAGTGGCAAACCCTTTTTCATTACCCTAACACATGTACATTGTGGCCGCCTCCGTGGTGTAGTGGTTAGAGCATCCGCCCGGAGAGCGGAAGGTCGTGGGTTCGATCCCCGACCGCTTCATACCAAAAGACGTTAAAATATGGTACTTGTTGGTCCCTGCCTGGCGCTCGGCATTAATGGGTACAACAAGGACTGGTCGGCTCGGAGTCAGTATACTGTGTCTGAGTGGGGTATTCATGCTTAAAATATGGTACTTGTTGGTCCCTGCCTGGCGCTCGGCATTAATGGGTACAACAAGGACTGGTCGGCTCGGAGTCAGTATACTGTGTCTGAGTGGGGTATTCATGCTTAACTGCCCATGGTATCGCAGTGGGCTAGCACTATAAAACCAGCTTAAGTCTGGGCTAGTACAAGCAGCCGCACATACACATACACACGCATGCACGTCGTCATATGAGCGAAATATTCTCAAGCACGACGTTAAACCCAATTTCACCTCACCTCATGTACATTGTACGATTCCAATTGCAGTATATACCCCACCCCACCCCCACCCCGCCCCTGTGTAAAAAAAATATGTAATGCTCATATTTTCAAGTGCTCACAAATCATTAGTCTGACAGCACCATTCCCGTGCGTGGATTTATTCATGGCGCATAGTGACAGTAAAGAGTGCCTGCATACACATTCCCTTAAAGCATACTGAACATTTCAATAATAATGATTCGGTACGAAGGTGTTTTATTGCAGAAAGAGTGATTATGCTTGTAACAACACTTGTGTCACGTACATCTCGACACAGTGACAGAACACATATGTCACATCCAATTCTACGCTGAGGGTAGGCTGGAATCAAGCTTAAATTGCACCTGGCTCTTTCCATGCAAAACCACATCATTATCTGAAACAGAAAATGTCACAATTGAATGATGTAGACATTTTGACTTACAATAGGAAGTACGTGACAATCAAGCCTGACATCATAATGGGCCAGAATAATGTTAACAGCAGAAATGAGAAAAATAAGTACTTTGAAAGTATTTACTTTTCAAAAATTCAATTCATAATTAAACCCTACTGTATAAAGAAGGCGCGTTTCAGGAAAACCATTAGACTGTCATACAGAAACTGAAACAAATATGTTTAATATTGCCCGTGCAAGTCTACGAATTTTGTTTTCACATCTACAACATCGGCAAGATCCGCAACTTCCTAGATACTGAGACAACAAACCTCCTAATGCAAACACTTGTAATCTCAAAGCTGGACTATTGCAACTCACTCTTTTGCAACACGGCATCTTCAACACTTTCTAAATTGCAGATAATTCAAAACGCAGCAGCTCGTGTGGTCTCTCGAACCCATCGCCATGACCATATATCGCCAGTTCTTAAATCCCTTCACTGGCTTCCAGTAAAGTACAGGATCTACTTCAAGATTCTGCTACTGACTCATAACTGCCTCTACGATGACCAGTCCTGTGACTACCTTCGCCAGCTTGTACATCTGCATGTACCCACCAGAGCTCTTAGATCAATAGATACGTTAAGACTAACACAGCCAGCACTAAAACATCCATGGGTGATAGAGCCTTTCCTGCAGCAGCACCAGCTCTATGGAACAATCTTCCCAGTCACCCTCAGACGAACTGAGTCCCAGTCACTTTTCAAGAACTTGCTCAAAACCTACTTCTTCAAGATGGCTTCTGAATAGAACTCTTTTCACACTTATTGTGTTTTTAACGATGTATGCAGCGCCGTTGAGCATCTATGATGGTAACCAGGCGCTATACAAGCCAATTATTATTATTACTATTATCATTATGTATGACAAGACTAGATTTCCAAAGTTTCAGGATTTGGGAGAACTATCAAGTAAGGAGTGTTTCAGCAGAATGATTAGTTTGTCATACAGATTTAGAAACTGACACAAATAAATATAGAAGAATGCCAGTGCAAGTCTAGGATATGTGACAGGTCTACATTATCACAGTTTCAGGATTTATGAGAATTATCATTGGGTGTATGGACTCACTTAAGTTGGGAATGATGTCTGTTACCGTCTCCCCATTAGCTGCTGTCAGCTCACACGGACACCGCCTGTTTGGTCTACCTTCTGTCCGTTGGAAAGTTCCCAGAATCCATCGGCCGTGTGTTTCATGCTGACGTACTTCCCGCCCTGCATCATTTCAGCTTCCGTGGCTGGTATGCTGGTAGTTAAAGTTTAATCGTAGCAATAAAACGCATGTTAGAGCATAAAGAGTGACAATCACACACGTGACATGAGAAGGATAAATGACCAGCACAAACAAAAAACAATTTAAATACAACTTGAAATGATCAGACTACTAAGTGATGTTGACAACTGCACACTGCAACATGATCATTCCTCGGTATGCCCTATGTATGTGACTATGTGCTGACTATATGTTTATGCCAGTATAACTGTCTCCGTGTTGTAATATCACTCTGTCTTTGTCAGTGCTTGTATATTTAATGTGTTATTAAAGTGTTCAATGTGGCATTATTATATAGTATTAATATGCATATGTCAAGCCGGTGTTTCGTTGCCTAGGTTTATGTCTGTGCCCATTTGTTTGCATCCTCGATAATCTCCAGGATATACGTTCCGATAAATCTCTACAAGTAAATGTATGCATCTTCGGCTCGGCCCGATAATTTTATTACCTCCCTTTGCTGGGTCCGCCTCTTCACAGCAGCCAATCTGATAAGCCGTTGCAACCGAGCTTGCCAGAGTCAACAAAGATAGGAGCCGCAGCCGCGAAGGTTTGCTCGCTGTGCCACTCAGATTTAGGGAAAAATATCATACGGACAAATTAACGGGGTGCCGTTCCACTAACCGATCTTATCTAAGATCAATCTTAGCAAGTTACGCCAATTTTACAATCGTCTTAGCTAAAAGTTACACCCTTTCCACTACCCGATCTTAGGCCGATCGTAGCCGGTCCCGATCTTACGATCCGATCCAAGCTTAGATCGAGACTCTTTCGTGCGAGAGAAAGAGGAATGCGAGGCACGAGTTATCTCCCTTTGCATAGTCTAGCAAATGATGGAAGTAGTTTACGAACCCACTGAGTGAGTGAGTGAGTTTAGATTTACGCCGCACTCAGCAATAGTCCAGCTATATGGCGGCGGTCTGTAAATAATCTAGCTCAGATGCATAGCGTTCACTAACATGAGCGTTCATGTTAGTGAACGCTATGTATCTTAGCTATAAATAATCGACCCTGGACCAGACAATCCAGTGATCAACAGCATGAGCATCGATCTGCGCAGTTGGGAACCGATGACATGTGTCAACCAAGTCAGCGAGCCTGACCACCCGATCCTGTTAGTGGCCTCTTACGACAAGCATGGGTTATTGAAGTTCAATATTCTAACCCGGGCCTTCATAGGTATTTTTCCAACCAAGCGTAAACGTAGAAAATAAAACTAGAGCAAAATATTAGGGTAGTGAGCACCTTGGCTTCAGGTGCAAGTGCGCGTGAACGCTGGGTATCAGGCATAATATAATAATAATAAATGCATATTTATAGTGCCCCTATTCCACATCCTTGGGCATGCTCAAAGCGCTGTGTACAGATAATTTACACGAGAGTATTTACAGCCGAGATTATAAGTAATATACTGAGAACAGGTTTTAAGTCTGGACTTTAAAAATGTCAATTGTGTCAGAGCTTTTAATATGTGCCTGAACCTTGTCAATCAGAATAAACAAGGCGTGACGAGGCTATAACGTATGTAGAATCTGTCAGTGGTCTTGAATAACACGCGGCCTGCCTTTAGAATCCCCACCAAATATGCGCAGTGAAATCAAACATATTTGTATCTTTTGCTTTCAGAACATTGTTCACTTCACGGCTGTCCCTATTCTTAACCATGACGTTGCAATATTGTTGTACAAATGTGTTACACCGACTCGCTCGGTTGTGTTCCCATGACGACAGTGGTCAGACTGGCCTGACATTTGTAGGGTTTCAGTGCAGTGTTTGTTTACATCACAGAAATATACAAATTCATTTCATGGGGGATTTTAGGGGACGCTCACGGTGAAATGCTCGCTCTTATTTTTCACATAGAATAGGAAAGCCACCATTTTGGTTTCTCTACGATTGATGTTAGCTATCCTAAGTTGGTCATGAGCAACTTAGACTTTGAATCTTAAGTTTACGATTGACTTAGGTAAGATTGGTTAGTGGAACGGTATGCCGACCGTAACGTCACGCTAAGATTGGGATTTTAGGGGTTTACGATCGGCATAGGGCTAAGATCGGTTAGTGGAACGGCACCCAGGTCTGAAACCTTCAAAAATCTTCTACCTCTTTCAGAGTACCTCTGCAACAATTGTGTTGCCAAGTTTAATCCGTTAGATAAAAGAAGCGAAAGTGAGTTGTGATAGCAGCTTTGTGATTGGAACGCTCAACTTCCCAGCGTAGACACCTGATTGGATGAAAAGCCACCAAAGGGAGGTAATAAAATTATCGTCCCCAGCCGAGGGTACAAGTGGAAATGTTTCGGAATGTATGCCCTGGAGATTATCTAGGATGATTTGTTTGTCTAATGCAGGATAATATACCATAGCCAGCCGTTCTGTTGAAACGGTCCCTGTTGAAGCATGCCTTAGTCCCATGTTAATACTTCTTGGATTGTAAAATACCATTAGATCTTCCCATTATTGTTTCCTTCTTTTGCACACTGCAGAGTTACATCCCTTGGGTACGCCAAAAACTGTGACATGGGTGCGAATCCCGGCTAGCCCGGGATGTTTCTATGTTTGTGAGCACCATAACCCAGCACGTGGGTTTCAGTAAATCTGCATCACTTTGGGTTGTCCTCCCACTTTAAAATGACACGCCGTGATTTAATTAAATTACTGTCCAAAGTCCACCTCACACTCATTATCTTGGCGATCATTAATCGAGGCTATTCACAGAGAAAATTGTCCCGACACCTACCGAGCGTTTCTGACTTGCAGTTTGATGTAGTACGGGTTCGTTCCTTGGAATTTGTATTCTATTTTGGTATTTCCAACTGGACACTGCACTGCCTGGATCTGTATATTCCAGCGTCCGTCTCCGGATACTGCGAAGTCCAGAGATCCTGCAAGCATGTATATGTTGGTCAAATGACTGAGAATTTTAGTCTTTTGACCAAATGACTGATCGTTTTAGTCATTTGACCAAATGACTGGTTTGACAGATTGACTGTAACATATATACCATGGAACGTATCTGTTTACACATCGCCGTATGTAATGGCATTCACACCTCTCGTGTCTCACTCCCATCCTACAAACTGAAATCTTTTGGACACCGATCATTCTCTTACTCTGCACCTGTACTTTGGAACTCTCTCCCATCTGCCCTTAAAAGCTCTGATACAACTGACATTTTTAAGTCCAGATTTAAAACCTACCTTTTTCTCAGTATATTATGTATAACTTCATCTGTAAATACTCCAGTGTAAATATTCTGTAGCGCTTTGAGCATGCCTTAGGATGTGGAAGGGGCGCATTATAAATATGCATTTATTATTATTATTATTATATAAACAACTAATGTGTCTAGCATATCTATGTAGCAAATGACCCGTGAAGATCCGGGTTAGAATTGGTCTTCAGCAACCCATGCTTGTCGTAAGAGGCGGGTAATGGGATCGGGTGGTTAGACACACTGATCGGTGGTCAGACTTGGTTGACACATGTCAGCGTGTCCCAATTGCGTAGATCGATACTCATGATGTTAATCACTACATTATCTGGTCCAGACTCGATTATTTAGAAATATGCATATAGCTGAAATATGCGACCTTGAACAACTAACAACACAAGCATCTACACTAGGTATTGAGAAGCTTAGCAAGTAAGCGAATACGGCGAAAGAAATCAACAACTATATAACAGAGACCCCTGAGGAAGCTTTCTTGTTGCGTTGATATGGTAAACCAGCTGCTGATGGCAAGATCAACGATCAACAGGGGTCTCATATCGATCGAATTCATAGTATGTGGGGCATAGACCTGGCTCTTAGTCGTCTTAACATCGGTGGGTGACATGCCGATGATACATTTTGTGCAAATTCCACCTAACTGAAATAGTTTTCTTTGGGCGTTAAACCCAACTGGATCTCTCACTCACCAGCAAGACATTCTGGACACAGGTTGTTTGCAAAGACGTAGAAATCCCCTGTGATCGGACTGTTCCCAGAACCCTTACCAAAACCATGAACCTGGGAAATTGTAGCAACGCGATCTCTCACTCACCAGCAAGACACTCTTGACACAGGTTGTTTGCAAAGACGTAGAAATCCCCTGTGATCGGACTGTTCCCAGAACCCTTACCAGAACCATGGACCTTGGAAATTGTATCAACTCGATCTCTCACTCACCAGCAAGACATTCTGGACACAGGTTGTTTTGCAAAGACGTAGAAATCCCCTGTGATCGGACTGTTCCCCAGAACCCTTACCAGAACCATGAACCTGGGAAATTGTATCAACTCGATCTCTCACTCACCAGCAAGACATTCTGGACACAGGTTGTTTACCAAAGACGTAAAAATCCCCAGTGATCGGACTGTTCCCAGAACCCTTACCAGAACCATGAACCTTGGAAATTGTATCAACTCGATCTCTCACTCACCAGCAAGACATTCTGGACACAGGTTGTTTGCAAAGACGTAGAAATCCCCAGTGATCGGACTGTTCCCAGAACCCTTACCAGAACCATGAACCTTGGAAATTGTATCAACGCGATCTCTCACTCACCAGCAAGACATTCTGGACACAGGTTGTTTGCAAAGACGTAGAAATCCCCTGTGATCGGACTGTTCCCAGAACCCTTACCAGAACCATGAACCTGGGAAATTGTATCAACGCGATCTCTCACTCACCAGCAAGACATTCTGGACACAGGTTGTTTGCAAAGACGTAGAAATCCCCTGTGATCGGACTGTTCCCAGAACCCTTACCAGAACCATGAACCTGGGAAATTGTATCAACTCGATCTCTCACTCACCAGCAAGACATTCTGGACACAGGTTGTTTGCAAAGACAGTAGAAATCCTGTGATCGGACTGTTCCCAGAACCCATACCAGAACCATGAACCTGGGAAATTGTATCAACGCGATCTCTCACTCACAAGCAAGACATTCTGGACACAGGTTGTTTGCAAAGACGTAGAAATCCCCTGTGATCGGACTGTTCCCAGAACCCTTACCAGAACCATGAACCTTGGAAATTGTATCAACGCGATCTCTCACTCACCAGCAAGACATTCTGGACAAAGGTTTTTTGCAAAGACGTAGAAATCCCCTGTGATCGGACTGTTCCCAGAACCCTTACCAGAACCATGAACCTGGGAAGGTGTATCACGCGATCTCTCACTCACCAGCCAAGACATTCTGGACTGGGTTGTTTGCAAAGACGTAGAAATCTCCTATTGATCGGACTGTTCCCAGAACCCTTACCAGAACCATGAACCTGGGAAATTGTATCAACGCGATCTCTCACTCACCAGCAAGACATTCTGGACACAGGTTGTTTGCCAAAGACGAAAGAAATCCTAGTGATCGGACTGTTCCCAGAACCCTTACCAGAACCATGGACCTGGGAAATTGTATCAACTTGCGATCTCTCACTCACCAGCAAGACATTCTGGACACAGGTTGTTTGCAAAGACGTGAAAATCCCCTGTGATCGGACTGTTTCCCAGAACCCTTACCAGAACCATGAACCTGGGAAATTGTATCAACATTCATAAAGCATCCATTAATGAGCATTACAATTATTTTACAAAATGCATTTATGAATTTAAAATTATTTAATGGATTAAAGAACGCAATTTCAAACGAGACGGTGTATTTTCCTAAACACCAATTATGCGTATATCATCATAGAATCATTATTTCATTTCCTAAAACCCGTTAATCCAGACAATCCTGGTTGATGTAATTCCTACCTTGAAACACATTCCGCATGCGAAAAGAGTTCTGGAACTGAGGCTTGTTGAGGGCAACTTGATACTTTATTTTCGGGCTGAGGGCTGCTGGGGGGAGTAACTTATGCGGGTTGTACTGACACATGCCTGTGTCTGTATTGTCCTTCAATATGTGCCCTGTATCAAATCAGTAGAAACTATAAAACGAGTGGGTGTTGAATATGGAAAATGTTCCAACGTGATATTTTTAAACGTTTTGATTTAAACAAATCAAAACGTTTGAAACATTGAGTATTCATTTCAATTTCATTAAATCCCTTGAAATTATAGGGAATACAAGAAATCCCTGGGTGTCAAAGCGATTTCACGAAATCACTGACTCGTTTAGGGATTAAGTGAAATGCCTGGTTTAACACATTCCCTGTAACACATATACACTGTTAGTCAAAGTCAAAAGAATTTATTATATTTAAGGCCCCCGTCCCTCATACAAATATACATTTACAAATACTATACAATACGCATAATAGAGAGAACAAAATGACTGGCAATTTTAAAATGACCTTTAGCGTATTAAATTTTTTAACAGTTCATTTCTTAGTCTCATACTATGTTTGATAAATAGTGACAGGTTAAGAATAACATTATCATTTTGAGAAGACATTAAGGATGCAAAGGTTGTGCAGGTGGTTATGACAAAAACGGGTGTGAAATGTATTTGCTTCTGAGAATGTAGTAGTATGGACAAACTAGCATTAAGTGGAATTCATTCTCAACTGCTGATTTACATAACGGACAAGTTCTCCTGTTCTTTCTCCTGGACATTTTTCTGCCTTCGTTTATCATTATATCTTACAAACCAAGTCTACATTTGATAAAACTATTTCTTAAATCTTTAGAATATAAAATAGACAAATATTTTTCAGGCTGAAGTAAACGTTTAAATGCCCTGTAACAATCATACTTTGAGCTGTCATAAAGCGTAGAATGTCAATCTTGATAGAACATATCAATCAATAGAATCAATTAAATTGGTTTTTTAAAATTATATAAAAAGAGACTGCTATTTCCACTGTTTGAAACATAGTGCGTGGTTCTCGGCTTATCTCGTCATGCAGGCGATAGATTAACATATGTCATGACATAACTGGTGGGGACACAGCATGCTGAGTTGTGTCTGGAGTACCAGACATATTCAACCCTCTCCATCTGAACAATGTTTTAATGGGAGAAAATAAAGAAATTCAATCCAGGATGAGGTATCCTTTTGCCACAAAGGGACATAACTCTGCGAAACGAAAAGCGGCTTCGGACCAATGGTCCCTCCTCACTGTAACATGTTGAGCCTTCACTTCTGTTCATAATTTAGTGCCGAGTCCAAAGACAAGACAGACAATACTGTACTGATACAGTCAATCACGATGTCACCTACACAAGTTGCATTGACAGGAGGATAAGCACAAGAGTGTGAGTGAGTGAATTTAGTTTTACGCAGCACTCAGCAATATTCCAGCTATATGTCTCTAAATAATCGAGTCTGGACCAGACAATCCAGTGATCAACAGCATGATCAACGCAATTGGAATGCGATGACATGTGTCAACCAAATCAACGAGCCTGAACACCCAATCCCGTTAGTCGCCTCTTACGACAAGCATGGGTTACTGAAGACCAATTCTAACCCGGATCTTCACTGGTCGATAAGCACAAGATTCATCAACCTAACGTTTGTACATCATCTTGATGTTAAAACAACTTACATCTCCCGTGAATTTTTGTTGGAATAAACTGAGGATGCCCTGGTTTTTGGCACCAGCTGCTAGACCAAACAACAAGACAGTCAAGTAGAACATGGCTCCAAGCGATATCTTGAAGACGCCTTATCAACCAAATATTTATATCCAAGGTTCCTGACCTTAGCCATGACCTTGTGGTCCACCTTTTGAAACTATATATAACTCAAGGTTTATCTATTAATGACTCTTTAAAATGCATACATACAGTTTCGTGAGATGTTTTTGTAGGATACAGATGGTTCACTTATGGTAGGACTAGTTCAGAGCGGATGT